TTGCAAGCGCAGACTTAATTAACACGATTTTATTACGATCGTGAAAACCTTACCAGGCTGAATTGACAAGTCCTTGAAGTTCTTGACACACGCCACCCGTGTCCGTACTCGACCAACAAAAACGCTAACATTCCTACCGATGTGTCCCAAAAGAGCCATACTTTGTCTGACTAAACAACTACAGTCCTCAGATCCACACAAACAAAATATTTTATTGACAGAACATTATAACACACGTGCATCTCTAAAACAGTAGTATTCTAATTCTTTCCTATCCAGGGCGCCGCCATCTTGACTGCTGGAAAACAGCTCGTATTTCCGCTTCCGTCTGACGTCACTCTTGGGCAAAGAATGTGTTGCGCATGACAACGGAGTGAGCCCCCGGGAAAGGAGAGAGAGACAATCTTAAAAAAACACCACGTTACAGCTCACCTATCACTCATGTATAGTACAAATGGGAAAATAGCCCATATTCTATAAGAATTAAACGCCATGCATAGTGACGAAGTTGCATCAATACCCTCATATTCACGGGACAGCCCGTCTCCCGTACTGTTAGAGAAGATCCCGAATCGGATCTCCACACACCTGCACACAGGCCCCGCACCGAAAAGGGAGAGAGAACAGCGGAGGTCCACGATTACTAGACATATCGGGAGCATGGGCAAAAGTTTGTAATTCCTGAATGGACATGGCAAAATGTGCTCAGTTAAGCAAGGAACAAAGACAGTCTGTAATTACTTTAAGAAATGAAGGTCAATCTTTGAGACATATTGCAAGACCTTTGCGAGTGTCAGTAACTGCTGTGGCCAAGAGTGTCAAACGACATGAAGACACTGGCCCTCATGAGGACCGAAAAAAGGTCAGGCAGGCCGAAGGTGACCTCAGAATCAGAGGATACGTTCATTGGAGTCACAGGTTTGCAAAACCGGTGACTCTAAGGTACAAGCTGAGCTCAATGCAGCCAGAAGTACAGCTGTGTCAACATCAACTGTTCAGAGGAGGTTGCGTGAAGCCGGCCTACCAGGAAGAACTGCCGCAAAGAAACCATTGCTAAGGGTGCAGAGTAAGAGGAAGGGCCAAAACACCTCTGAAATTGGACCTCTGAGGAGTGGAAGTCCGTCTCGTGGACCGACGAGTCAAGAATTTCAATATTTGGGTCCAACCACCAAATATGTGTGAGATGCAGAGAGGGTGGGCGCGTGCGTCCTGCATGTTGGGTCCCTGCAGTCAGGGGTGGAGGGGGCAGGGTCATGGGATTGGGCTGCTCTGCTGCTGATGGAGTTGGTGACCCTTACCAAACCCATGGCAATCTCAACCGGCATGACTATAATGAATAATTAATAATACTTCTAATTACTTACACTCATATAGCGCTTTTCTGGACACTCCACTCAAAGCGCTTTACAGGTAATGGGGACTCCCCTCCACCACCACCAATGTGCAGCCCCACCTGGATGATGTGACGGCAGCCATAGTGCGCCAGAACGCTCACCACACATCAGCTATCAGTGGGGAGGAGAGCAGAGTAATGAAGCCAGTTCATAGATGGGGATTATTAGGATGCCATGATGGGTAAGGGCCAATGGGAAATCTGGCCAGGACGCCGGGGTTACACCCCTACCGACTATCATGGCATACTGCCAAGGCACGGTGTTCCATCAGGATTCCGGTTAGTTGGGCAGTCCTTCATGCTTCACCAAGATAATGGCCCAAAACACACCCCAAAGCCGTGCAAGAACTATCTGGTGAAGGACAAGTCAGACTAATGACCAGACCTCGAGCCCATAGGCCTTGTGGGTGGGTGGGTGGGCTTCAGCTCTGGGAACGGCTGCAGAGAGCCGGGAGGACCTGGCCAGAGATCCCTGGTGAATCGTGTTAACAGAAAGCCTCGTGTCTGTGAAGCTGGCATTAAGGCAAAGGGTGGCTAGTTTGAGGAGTCAAAGATTTAGAGTCAATGTTCAGGTTTCTCGAACATCACTTTGATATTCTGATGTTTTGTTTGGTATATTATAGCGTGTTTTTTTATTAACAAGTATTTACAGAAACATATACAAGGTATCTGTACTCTGTACTCCAGCACAACTGGATTTGAAATGAAACAATGGCTATGGGGTTAAAGTGCAGAATGTTGGCTTTAATTCGAGGGTATTTATGTCTGTATTGGGTGACCCATATAGGAATCACAGCCCTTTATATACATACTGTAGTTCCCCTATTTCAGGGGACCGAAGGTAATTGGACATTTGGCTGCTCAGTTGTTTCTTGGCCACAACAAAAATTGTGTCACTGTACTTACGGACTGCACTGTATAATTACTCAACCCATCAGTGCACATCTAGTGTCTTATTGGGCGGTGTTACGATTTTAGAAAAGAAATCTAACAACAATTATATAAGGAACATATGTTTACATACATATGTTCCACCTACAAAGACTTAGAAACTCCAATCATACTAATACAAATTCACAGAAAATATGGAAAATGGCAAATATGACATGTCTGAATGATACAATTAAATAAGTGTCATCTTGAATAATTCATAAAATTGATCCTGGTAAACAAACATTATCCAGATTTAAACTTGAATTAGATGATCAGTGTGTATTTTGTAACATGAATGAAGAAACTATATTTTATTTGTTCTATCAATGTATTCAAACCCAAATGTTTTGGAGCAACTTGGAACATTTATTAAGTTCTTTAACTGTTAAGATTTCTTATAATGGATTTGACATCTTACTTTGTTTTACAAGCCCAGACATGGACCAGTGACAATACACTTGTTCACACAACACCCAAACTCTCAGTGCACTGTACATACACAGTCACACACCTGAGACTTGAGAAAATCAAACTTTAATTCCAGGTCAAGATTACAGTGCAAGAGAGAAAGTCATTTAAGGCAGCGAAACAGATTATCTTCTTTTAGAACAAAACTGTTAATTAAAATAAAAAAAACTTTGAAAGAGAAGAGTCTAGCAGTTTCCACAACCGATTAAACTGGACTCGTTTCCTCAAACTCGTTTGTGAAGGATTACAGTAACAATCCAGAGAGGGCTCAGGAGAGAGAGAGAGACAGACGTACAGTACGCTTGGGATTTTGTTCTGAGCTGTTAAAAAGGGAACACTTTTAAAATCAGAGTTAAAATTTTCAATTTTTAGAAATTCATCCTGTGAGGGAAGCTTGTTTTTAATCATCTTCATGACCCAGAGCCAATGAATTACTTCTCAGTTGGGGCAGACGGGCTGACCAAGGTGCTGATGAGAGTCCTGGTCTCCCCCAGGGGGAGTATCGCAGCCGGAGGGCCGCAGCAGCAGGGGCTGATTCGGATGGGGAGACTGCCCAGGCCGACCTCTGGCTTCATTCTTACAGATCTTAAGTTGTGATCCACCGGCAGAGGACTGATCCCGATTCTGATTCACCGGCAGAGCACTGATCCCGACAGATTAACAGACAGTGGACTGATCCCGATTCTGATCCACCGGCAGAGCACTGATCCCAATTCTGATTCACCGGCAGAGCACTGATCCCGACAGATTAACAGACAATGGAATGATCCCGATCCTGATCCATCGGCAGAGGACTGATTCGATTCTGATCCACCGCCAGATCCCGTCTTCAGATCGGACAGGAGAGCAGACCTCACTCCCTTCCCGGAGAGTGCCGAGCCGGAAGATCGGGGAAAACTGCTGGTAGAGCTGCTGCAGTCGGGCCAATCCGGCAACACCGCTCTAAGACCTTCTGCCTGCGGTGCATTGTGGGAAAGGCTGGCAACTTCCAATTGACATGTGAAGCAGACTCTGAAGGGAAATCTGATTCCTGACCAGCCAGGGGGAAACCGGCTGACGTCTGTGAGACTCTCGGACATGGCAGGGGCAGTCAGGGCTCTTCTCAAGCAAAAACAGGCCAGAATTTCCACAGTGATCTTGAAGATTCACTGTGAGGAGGCCGTGCTGGACAGCGAGGGGTTAATGACGTCTTTATCTCAGCCTGCTGGCCATCCAGGAGGGTCCTGACCGTTCGGTGGGCTGAAGCCAGAGCTCAGACTCTCCCCTGCTGCTTTCATGGGGGTGTGGGGCGGATTTGGGAGAATGAAGACTGTTAGCGAAGAGCCCCAATGAGTGTCTGCGTCATGAGGCTGGTTCATTAGTTAATTAGTTAACGAGAGGGTTCAGAACCGAAGCAAAGGAGAAGGGATTCAGCTTGTAGCCGGTTCCGGTGTAGAACTTGT